ACCGACTCTCACCGAACTATTTCCAAAAATTCAACGGATTCCGGCTCCTGATTGGGCAGAAAAAATGCATTGTATTATTGTGCCCAATCGGCGAACAGTTTCTCCTGAGTTCTTTTCGTGAGTTCATACACGACGGCTATTTCCTCGTCAAACAAGCCTATCGACGACAAAATCCAAGAAGCAGCGAGTGGAAGCTTCAGGTACTGTGTCATTACACCACGGGCATCTATAATAACAAATTTACTCCTAAAGGTGGGTGAGTTAATTATGCACAGTGCAAACCCTTTGATAGGTCAGGGATGGAATTCGATGTGCTGCCATTAAGAAGCTGTTAACAATGTGTCTGGTCTCTCTTTGACCAAGAGGATTGTTCCTGATATACAGTATTACTTGTTTGAAGCTGGTTGTAAGAGATTCAACTCTGTTGCTCTTTCTGTTGAACCAGGTAAGTTTTTCCAGCTTCTTACCCTCAAGATTTACGTGAAAGTACAATACGAAGCTGCTCTTGTGAGCTAAGTTTTTTGATCAGTTGGAAGCTTAATACTGATGCTCACTCAAGCAAAATTGGTCTGATCATGCCGGTAGTCGGAGTTAAGGACAATTTAGACAACTGTTATAGCTCAATGTTGTAGTTCTTGTCACTAAGTACCGGTTCAATGAGAACGTGACTAGAGCTCTTATTTTTCTGTAGCTTCCGTCCGAATCTTCACTAGATGCATGTGATGAGCTCAGAGCAAAATTTATTTCAGTAGTTGATTAATCAGGCTTTCAAAACCCTCATCATGTATTTTTTTTTCTTGATATCCTTCCCTTTTCTCTTGATTGTAACTTGAAAAGTCATCTTGGCCACCGCCCTTAGGAAGTAATAAGTCAGTAGAAGTAACATATCTTAACAGTTAAGTGTCAACTCTTCCGTGTAATCTGTCAGTGGATATATCTGTTAGCCTTTGAGCTTTAACCCTCTCTCATTACAAAGGCTATCATTTTATCATTTTCCCTTATACCCAATCAATAGATGGCACTGCCAGAATTGGATTTACACTCCACATTTTGTTAGGGGACAGCCTGCACGAGACGGAAATAAGTTATAATCTTAACTCACACTCGACAATGTATTTGTATCCCAAGATGGGACCCTCGATCATGGTCCATCTTCTCCCCTATTCTTCTCTAGGAAACATATACAAGCTGACATCGGGGACACTGGCCATTAGAAGATCCCCTAAGCGGTTTACGGTTGGTTCGCCTACGAGTCGTTTCGCCAACGTCCTGTTCGCTAACTTCTGAAGTCGTTTCGCTTATGTGTTGGGGCTGTTCCTTAACTGCTTTTACCTGATAAGTGGCTGAAAGAACGAAGTATATACATTCGTATAACATTTTATTTGTGTCATGGCTAAGAGAACGAAGCATATACATGTGAAGCGCTCGTTTCCCTTCTTAGCGGAATAACAAATAGACTTTAGCGAACGGGACGTTGGCGAAACAACTCGTGACACGTAGGCGAAACAACCGCTCACCCTCTAAGCTACGACTCAAGCCACATGCAAATACTAAATATTTTTTAACTTTATTACAAGTGCAATCATTGAGTCGTCGTACTTCTTCCCTCATCAGAGACCTTTAGATTCAAGGACGAGAACGACTACGAGTGCGAGATTTGTCTTCAAGTTTTTTCGCGTATTCTCAAAATATAGACTCCCCGGAAAGCTTCATTTTACCATTTTTCACTAGAAAAGTTAGCACTGTCACCTTTAGTGAACGAGGTTGCACCCTCTCCTGATCGCAAAATGATAAAAATTCTCACGTTTGATAACTTGTTTCCGCTACTTCGACATTCTGGCTAAAACTCGTAGTAAAGTGACGACGGCTACCACTTTTTCCCGCCAAAATGACGCCGGTTCACGCGCGAGCACTACTTAGTGTTGAGAAAATCTCGTACTCGTAGTCTTACTCGTCTTAGAATCTGAAGGTCTCTAATTTGTACTGAAAATGTTGTATCAACTACAGAGAATTGAGGTTTTAGCAGTAGGGATTAAAGGGTGTTTTTAATTGTATTTATCCTGTAGAATCTGATGCTGACTCAGCGAATTCCCTGAGGTTAGAGAATGAAAAACTGCGAACGCAAGTTGAGAGTTTAAAGGCAATTGCTGAACAAAACACAAGTCTGATGTGGTCCATGCAGAGTTATCAGTACCAGGCAGAGGAGATAAGACAGTAGTACAACAACATGATAGCAGCTAAAGATTATGAGGTAGATACGAATAGCCTGTATGAAAATACTTATTCTTTAAAGGGTCGTAACCTATTAGAGGGCTTTAGATTCGAGGACGAGAACTACATTTAATTTTAAGTTTCTCGCCTATTCTCTAAAATAGACACCCCGGAAAGCTTCATTGTACTTTTTTCCACCAGCAAAGTTAGCACGCTTATTTGTGTTGAAGAAGGTTAAGCCTTCTCCCGATCGCTAAATGATAAAATTTCTAACATTTGATAACTTGTTTTCGCCACTACGACGTTCTCCCTAAAACTCGTCGTTGACTGACGACGGCTAATATATTTTTCCGCCAAAATGACGTTGGTTCACACGCGTGCACTACTTAGTCGCTCCCGTAGTCGTCCTCGTCTTAGAATGTAAAGCTCTTTATTCATTCTTTGCTAAAAAAGACTCTGGCACTCTGCGAGGAAAGCCTGCTTTTGGTGTCTTGTCATGTTGCTCGAAAGTCATCTCGCCCAAAGTTATGTCGCCCGAAACCAGAATTAAGTCGCCTGAAATGCTGAGTCATGTCGCCCGAATTTTATCAGGTGAAGTACATAGAGCAACAAAGTGAATTTTTGTTAAACAAGACGCCTAAAGTCGTTTCCGTGGGAAGCGTTGGTCTATGGAAGCATAATGGCGTTCTATCTGAATTTGGAGAAATTAGGGAAACGGAAAGATGTGTCATGTTATGAGCATCGATGAGTAGGTTACCTGTATGGGTTGTTTTAATGTGCTTATGACTGAATTTATAATAGCCTGCGTGGCATGCTACTATTTCTCCCCAATCCACATCCCCTTTTTGCTTCCTCCCTATCCCCTACCCCTTTCGACACCTGCTACGCAAGCTAAATTTATAGCTGTCAGTGGTCGCAAGCCAGGATGGAGTTGATCTTGTTTTGGTCTATCGCTATGTAGTTATTTTCATAGCACGATTTGGATAAGAAAAAGAAGTTATTTTGCATCAAAACAAGGTTTACCCGTGTAACTTAAATTGAAATGTTATTGAAAATAAGTAATGGAGAACATGCGCATAATGCTCTCTGATTAACCTGAACAGGAACTATATGTATAAAGATACGTTATATCTTGGTAGAAAGTTGCTACAGGTAACTTTGTCAAAGAGAAATAAACATTGTAGTTTTAGGTTAATGGAACAAAACAAAACAAAACATTTGCTTGCTTTATCCAGGGTCGAACCCAGGGTTACAAAGTTCGATAAAGCTCCAATGTTTTAATCCAAGATGAAAGTTTAATATTCCAAGATGCTCTTGATACGGTTGAATTAATTGCAATGTGTTTCCAAGGTCTCAAAGTTAACATAGTTCCAATGATTATCCTTTATTCCAAGGTATTATTAGTTTACTAAGGTCCTGATCCGTGTTCCATCCAGAAGTCCAATCCATGACGAAAGCGAGTCGTCGATCGACGAGGACAATATTTTCGCGATTTCACCGCCAATCGTCAAGGGTACAAGTTGAAATTTACGCGATTTAACCTCCCATCGTCAAGGTGTCTTCGATAAGAAAAGAAAAAAACTGAACTTTTGCTGTGCTCGGCAAAAACTGGCGAACCCCGAATAGAAAAGTCTATCGGAAATCACGGCCCGCAAACAGACGCTACTAAAGCTAGAACTAAACGAAAAAGAATCATGAAGGAAAGAAATAATTTGGCTTAGGTCGCCTTTCGTGACTTTCCAGTATCCTGAAGGATTTCGCTGGTTAACAAGCCATCCCAAACCATGAGTGGGAAAACTCTAGCGCGACAAATTTGGCAAGGAACGCTCTGATTTCAACGTTCTTCAGCCTGGAAGCAAATCGATTAAAAATCGATACAGATTTTGTTCAATCTGATTGGTCGGCTTGGAAGAAGAGATAATCGATAAAGATTTTAGGCAATCCTTTTGGCTGGCTTTGCAATTTTGGGTACAACCGAACCGGATTTTTACCGTGGGAGTGCCACACACACTCTTTATTCCGTGAGATGCCTGTAACATATCTCGTTCTTTAAACCAAAGCGGAATGAATGTGTAACATACCTCGCTCTTTAAGCGGTGATGAGACGAAACAGGCGATATATTAAGCTTATGTGTAATATCTCTCGCTCTTTAACCCTTGATGAACAACGAAACAAGCGCGATAAATGAGTAACATATCTCGTTCTTTAATCTTTCGATGAGACGAAACAAGCGCGAAAAATGTGTAATAGAGATGCTAGGATGTTGTTAAGCGTCATAAAATTTCGAGCCACATGACTCAGCATTTCGGGCGACTTGACTAAAAATTTCGGGCGACATAACTCTGATTTCAGGCGACACAACTTCGGGCGAGATGACTTTCGGGCGACTTGACCAGAAGGACAAAAGCACTCTCTGCCTGAATCGCATCAAGCCTTTGAAGTCACAGCAACCCGGATTTCTGCACTAGTCATTCTTGTTTTCTCTCGTCAAACTGGTTTTTTAATGCAAGCATCCATTTATTGATATAAAATTGCTGGTCATAACTGAGCCCGCCGTACCAGGCGCGTGGCTCTTAGGCCTGGATTGGAAACTTTATCCAAGCAACACTATGCAGCACACGATTCTTGCAGTCTTTCTCGAGTACACCAATGTTGATCGAGCAAGCGACAGAAAGGCTCTGCTGGCAGGTTGAAACTATCTTTTAAGGCTAGTAGAATCCATTTCCCGCCATTCTCTGAACTGAGCGCGAACTACTGTAACTATTCAAAGTATAATAGAAAACACCCAATGTCGCGTTCCCAGTGTCGTAGACGAGTGGCGTTAAACACTGGAGTTCGCCAAGTCAACCACAATGAAGCACTGGGCGGTCGGCAAGATTCAATGGCGTTTATTAAAATCAGGCTAGTCTGACTATTTACAGCACTTGCGGTGAAAACTAGAAAGAAACGTGCGACTTAACGTCAGAAGAAACGAAAACTACGATAATGCTCCGTGCACGAAAAAAGAAGGAAAAACAAACTACTGAATTTACAAGCGTGACTTACGTTGGACCAAACCTCAGCACAATGTTCACAAAGACAATTCGGTTCCCCACCTCCTTCCCAGCTCATCTTGTTTGTAGGCTCGTTCTCAAGACAAACGAATTAAGACGGAATCCATCAGGAAATTGAGTAATTTTAATTTTCAGTGGACACAAACGTTATACCAGAATAATTTAAACAATATCGCATTCTTTTTTACATTTTTCAAGGGCTATAGATATAATTAGTTATCTGTAATAACACCAAAGACTATTTCTCATGGGAGCCCGAGAAAATAAATGTCAAATTTCACAAGAATTGTGAAAACACAGCCAAAATACTGAAAATTTCATGTGTAAGGTGTCATTTTGTGAAAGTTGACATTTATTTTCTCAGGCTCATTATAAGAAATTTTCTTTGGTCTTTATTACAGATAACTAATTACATCTATGGCCCTTGAAAAATGTAAAAAAGAATGCGATATTGTTGAAATTATACTGGTACAAGGTTTTTGTCCACTGAAAATTAAAATTACACAATTTGCTGATGGATTCCATCTTAAAACTTCATAAGAATGCAAGACTTTCCTTCTAATTTTCAGAGAGCGATGGCTGAGTTCGAAATTCTAGTGGACCTGGGCGATGATAGCCATAATGTCACAGACATGGACCTCGATACAGAAGAACTCACAGACCTTAACGAAAACGGCAACGAGAACAGCAAGCTTGGGATGCAGGATGAAATTGGTGGAATGGAAGAGTTAACGGCAGAGAAAAACGCAAAAAATGGAACTGGTGTGGATCTTGCAGATGTTAGTGGAGGTTTGCAGAGTGACAGTTTGGGTACAGAGCTAGTGGAAGTTGGCAAGGGTGAAGAACTTTGTCTTGAAAGTTATCCTGTGCAGGAGGTAGTGTGACGGATGATTTTTCCACTTCGAAACGAGTTTAAGGCTCAACGGGAACTCGATGCTTGGCTAACAATAAAACTGGGGAAAACTAGACACAAATGGTAACTCGCTTGCGGGGAAGAGCCGTCACTTCTCCGTAGGACCGGGATCTGACCACTAGCTGGTACAGCAGTAGATAAAACAGTACTAAACTTTGGTGCCAACAGCGTTTATTCTTCAGCGGATCAAACAGCAATAACTCGGCTCGTTCAAAGCAACTTACTTATATATGATTTTTACAACCACTGAAGACAAAAGAATACAATAAAAATATAAACAGAAACCACTTAGAGTTACATGAAAACTAAATACAATTTCTATTTTTCACCTGAAATCTTTTGTTTATTGTTGCTATATTTTAGAAAGTAAAAGTACTGAGACAAAGACCTAGCCAGGTAAGCAAAACAGCGTTTATGTACAAAGTGTTACAATATGAATTAAATTGCAAGTTCAGCTATCGGCAGTTTAAACAGGGAAAGCGCCGAGTAATTGGAAGTTTTCACCTAAAGAAAAACCGATCTATTTTTAAAATTACAAGACAGCAAAACCTTTCATATTCCAAATTCGGTTATCACCTCTCTTTAACTAACAACTTAATGAAATATATTTTCGCAAATAAATATAACTAAGTTGCCTGCACGAAAGGCGTTTCTATGAATAAATGTCGTCCGGTAGTAAAATCACGAAAAATAGACTAAAGTCAAATAAACCATTCTTAAGAAATTAAGTATTCTCTCAAGAGTCAACATTGACGTAAAATGTATACAATTGAAAAGAGAACGAACGATTAGTTTTGTTTGTTACGGAACACTGTTGGCTTTTCTATGATTATTAGGACGAAATTTCAAGAATCCGTAAATGGAAACTTAACGTAAACACGTAAAACCGTTGCGGAAACATGACGGTAATCACATGTTTCCGTCGCTGCGGTTTCGGCGGAAACGTACCACTTTTTTATACGTTTCCGTCAAATTTCCGTCTAAGGAAACACGTGTTTCCGGAAGCATAAATGCGTGGCATCCTTGCGGAAACACGCGAAAACGTTCCGGAAACAAGTCAATTTCATGTTTCCGTCAACGTAATCGGATGTAACTATTGCGGAAACACGAGTTTACGAGTCGGAAACTGGTGTTTTCAAATTATTTCCATCGTGGAAAAAGCGCTTTTCACCATGCTGGGGTGGTTTTCCCGCCATCTATAGTAACAAAAACCTATTCTCTCGACATTTTTATTGCACAAAATAATACCAAAGCAATCTTTCCAAGTACTTTCTTTATTCTCCTTGCTTCCTAAATTGACAATCAGGTCTTCTTATAGTATTTATTTATTACATTGCTTAAGTTCAATTACATTTTAAGTGAGTGCCTATTCACACTAGCAATGAACAAAAATATTAAAAGGCTTCCTTTAAGAAATCCACTAGACATTTTCTGTAGGACAACGTAGTGTTTTTTTTTTGGTAAAGAAAATGTCAAATCTGTTAACAAATTAATATCCTTTATAGCAGATAGTGATAAACACGTTCATGTGCAGCTTATGGCTAGTGATAGTTTTGATTGTCTATAATATTTCAACAAAGTGGAATATGATTTGTCGGGTGAATGTACATTGTAGTCCTGAGTAGGACTGTTGTTGAGAGCGACTAACGTTTTGACAACAAGGTGATCATCATTTTCATGGGCATTGTCAAAACATCAGTTCCTGTCAACAGTCCCACTTAGTACTATACTAACCTGTATGATCATATACCACTTACTCATATGACCATTCTGTTTCAGGATAATATTATATTGTGTCAGGAAATATTCTTACTCTTATGACATGGTGGTCTAAACTACACAATTTTCTATGACCAGTGCAAAGATTCAAATGCAAAAAAATACATCAACAAACAAAGTATGGCTACAGTTTTACATAATACAAGTCTGCTAAAACCTTTTATGTGTTTCATGTATACATTTTAGGTCACTTCTATGCTGAAGTCATTACTTAGTGTCTTTACCCATACACAAAATGCTCGACTTGTAGAGTTATGAAGAAGATACATGCATCAAGCCAATTTCATCAGGAAACACAAACCATAATAATTCTTGGTGATTTATGCAGTCATAGCATTATTTTAAGCTTGAAAAAGTTGGCCAAGTTTCAATCCATGATCATCTTTGTCATACATAGCAAGAGGTGATGGGAAACAGTCCCAATGCCTCAATTAAAACTGGACCATTATTTTTGGAACTTAATTTACGCCAAGACACATTTAAGCCTCTCAAAGAACAAAACATAGCACAAGCTACCCCTTTTAAAGCAATATAAAATGCCTTTCTGGAAAAGATGTTCACAAAGTTCTAATAATTATTATTGTTAAAAATGATTATGCATTATTGACCAACATTCAGTCAAGATGGCTGGATATTGGCCAAGCTCTTTTTTGCGAGGCCAGTACCCAGCTATGTTCACCAAACAAGCGTGATTGGTTTGCCCACTTGAGCAGCCAATTAGAACACAGGATTTGCTTTATCTTGCCTGCTCACGGATTCAAATATAAAATTGTAATAAATAATTATGCTTTATTGACCGGGTGTGAGGTTAAGATGGCTGAATATTTGTGCCTTTTTTGACCCTGCCTTCCTCTTGCAAGGCTGTGCTCTAAGAAAAATTGAAGGCAGCCCAGCACTCTGAACTTGTGAAATCCAGTGTGCCCAGCAAATGATTTCTGTGAAAAAGCAAAGATTTTCTAGTCGCCCGAGAACAAAAGTTACAGATGCAGGTGCCACGGGCCAAAGAGCACAGCCTGGTCTTGGTCAATAAAAATGCAAAACTGAATGAGGCCAATATTCAGCCATCTTGAACGAACAAGCTTGGTCAATAAAATAATGAATTGTTACATGGCCAAGAAGAGAACTTTTACTTGCATGACCAACGCGCGAAATCCCAAGTGGGAAAAATGGGCTCATCTTGCCTGCTTGGGTAGCCAATTAAAATGTAAGGTCCGCTTCATCTTGCCCACTTGAGGTAGCAGTTGGACATTTTTTGTCTTTAGCATGGAAGTAGTATTTCAAGATTAACATTTGCAGAACTTGACTAAGCATAAAGCACAGTAACTTGAGACTGAAATTAAGTTCCATGATCCAGCCTGCTTGCTTTGAGAGAACGTTCTGCACCAACATCACATACCAAGGTGATCTGCCTGTTGTATGAAAAACAAAACAAAGTGCTATTTAAGTAAAACACAGAGGCTATACCCTAGGCTATTGAGGGGGGGGGGGAGATGGAAAACCTTTTAGCAGTAAGATAACTAAACTTTACTAATGAGATTAAAACATACGAAATGAGTAATACATGTATACATATAATTTACTGACCGCTTACTTTGACAACTCAGCCGTCTACTTCCAAACTCTCTGACAACCCTGATTCATCACATTACATTTACATACATACGCTTGTGTTTCATAGTAATAGCTAGTACATTATGTTGCCTGTAACCTGCAACTTTAAGACTGTGGACCAGGGGTTACTTGTAAATGTAAACAAAGGCTGTCTATGATTCCCAGTACCAGTAACAAAAAGCCTATTTTTCAAGGGCACAACCTCCCTCAGGTTGCAGATTATCATCTACACGTACAAGGTAAATACCAGGGAAGGCAGGGGAAAGTAACAAGGTCTAGGTGCAAGAAATGATGTTCTCACAACTTGTAAAGCGATCACCCTGGTGGGCAACAGATAATTTATTGCAGTAAATGTATACTTCTGGTGTACAATGTATTACACAAAACAAAATTCCCATCAAACTCCCCTGAACAAAACAGTTTGGCTATCAAACAATATCAAACCAGCTTTTTTCAGAGTTTGATGCCTGAACAAAATCGAAACAAACCAAAATAATATCATTATATTGGGAAAAAAAATCAAATGTGAAAACTGAGTCAACTCAACAAGCCAAGGAAATCTGACAAGTGCTGGATTCAGAATATGCTACAATTGAGGCCAGTTAAGGAGTGAGGAGTAATAATTGACACAATTCCCAAGATGATTTCAACTTGCAGATTTAAAAACTTTTTTCCTTGGTAAACAAAATAAATGTATTGACATTTTCACAGAAAATGTTTATTTTAGAATTTAACTCTGAAATGGAAATAACAAAAGAAGCAGGACCTTACATCGAATTGACTGCTTTCACACTAGATCAATAATTAAAACACTTGCCATCAATAATTATTGTTTGGAACTGAAACGTTTGATTTTGTTCCTTTCGAGTATTCCTTATGTGAGTTCTACTTTGTTCGATAACCCAACTCAATGTTTGACTGACTTCAAAAAATCAAATGATCTATTCAATTTTTTCTTGTGAGTGGGTTTTGTTGAATGGCTGAGCTGCATCAAACTCTTTCATTCGAAAGAGTTTGATCTAGTTTGAAAGCCAAACATTCATTGTGATATGCTGGATATACATGTACATGTATTTCCTAAAGTAAATATTTTAGCAGTGAGAGGCAAACCGACAGTTAATAAATCAATAATTGACAAAAATATCATGCCTCTTTGTTTTTCTCACATGTTGTAATAATATTGTTTCTTGGTATTCAAGTTGCAAGGGAAACTAAAAAACAAGTGACAGTCACCGCAACCATGTAACGTCTTAACTGACAACAATGTACGCTGAGCTATGAGTGTGGATATCATATTACTATAGTTATGATGCTGATAAAAAAAAACACTGGAGACAATGTCAAATTTAGTCGAACTAAGTCAACTTTTCTATAGAGCTTATAAATATGAGCTTATAATTTTGAATAAACAAATTCACTTCTCCGCATTTCACTCTGTTTATTACAGTCAGTTCAACAACTTAAATTCAGAGTTAAAATTCAATAAACAAGGTAAACAAAGCAAAACTATTCCTGAAAGCTCAGTTCCTTGAATTATAATTAAACTGACTTTAAAGTGCCTGTGTCACAGTTGTGTGTAGT